CTGTCGTGGCGGCGCTGGTGGGCCCGAAAATGGCTTACGTAGCCGATCTTCGCTTCAAACCCCCTCGCACTTTGAGGGCATCTGAGTACGCCGCGAACATAATTGTAGTGAATGGTGGCAGATGGACATAATATGTAATTAGGCAAATGGCAACAGATTTTCTAAAGTTTGTGGAAATTAAAATAGTAAGACACGGGTCTTAACGCGAAGTTTATTTGTGGAAATTCTCAGGCTTGAGTATAGGGCCTTTAATGTTCGTTCGTTTCAGCCAAATGACGCCCACTGCCGGACAAAGGCCTCCCCCAAGGCCTTCCACAATGAACGGTCATGCGCTGCCCGCATACAGGCTCTTCCCGCGACCTTTACCAGATCGTCGGTCCACCTAGTAGGAGGCCTGCCCACGCTACGTCTTCCAGCCCGTGGTCGCCACTCGAGAACTTTCCTGCCCCAATTGCCATTGTCTCTACGAGCTATGTGCCCCGCCCACTGCCACTTGATTTTAGCAATTCTGCGAGCTATGTCGGTTACTTTGGTTCTCCTGCGGATCTCCTCATTTCTGATTCGATCACGCAGGGAAACTCCGAGCATAGCCCGCTCCATCGCCCTTTGGGTGACCTTGAGCCTTCTTATGAGGCCCATAGTAAGCGACCACGTCTCAGATCCGTATACCATCACTGGCAACACGCATTGGTCAAATACTTTCGACTTGAGACACTGCGGTATTTCGGACGTGAGTATACTTTAATGTTAAGTACTAGGTAATACAGTATTCATGATTGTTATTGAATGTTGTCTGTATTTCGCTGGTATTATCTAAGGATTCCAAGATGTATAAACGTTGTGTTGTGTCCGCCCATTTAATTAATGATCTTATGGAGATTTATTATCAAACTAACGGACTCAAGAGAGTTCTTGTTAATTGTAATATACCTACTTGAAGACATTATAGTTACCATCTGCCACCTATTCTGCTACCAATTTCCTACGTCATTAAAAAACGGTATGTAATTACGATGCTCTTTTAAGAAAACCATACATACCATCAAAACACAACACGGTCATAAATACGCATTCAGAGGGCGCCAAAAACTTTGGGAACTTCTGCCTCAAACAATTCAAAAGAATTGCATCCTTTTTACAAAACATAAGCCCTTACTTTAAGACCTTTTGAGCCCATTTCAGAAAGATCTTGTTATTTGTTTGAGTGTACTTGTTGAAATGTAAATAAAATGGGGTTTTATAGCCGTACTTGAATGTGAATTTAAATGATGCTAATTTTAAGTATTACTGTGGGAGGTAACGTCCAGTATTGTTGGGAATGGCTGAATTATATTTGATATTGCGCTTATTTTGTATTAAATGTCTGTAGACTTTAATTTAAAGCGTCTATTACTCATAAAGAGCTTTATTTAAGTGAAACGGATACTCACGTTTACTTAATAATAAACTTAATAAGCTATGGATTGTCGAATTTAAATTATGTATTTGGAATATTTTTAATACATTTTTTGCGTAGTCTCGTATTCTTATCGAAAAGACTGTAAATTTTTTGCTTGTAAATTGTTTTGTTCAGTTCGGCCTTTAATATTTGCCATCAGAGACAAGTACTTATTATACGAGAACTTCAATTGTATTGTTTTAACCTTTGGAAGTACCTGTTGTAATTTAATAATTTCAAGTGTCTTCATACTCGTATGTAGCAATAATAAAGTAAAATAAAATACTGAGTATTGCGGCTCTAAAGCACACTATACTTACGATCGAAGGCGATTACAACACGGATCAACAATTAGTAAACAACAACTATTGCGCAATGCCACATCTCCACTAATTACGCCCTAAACTATACTAGACATAACTCAAAGAACAACCACTTAAAAATAAACCCTATCTTTAACATATACCTAGAGTCTAAAATTGATAGATAATTCGTGTCACTTACGCCCTTTTACTTCGTCGTTTAAAAGGTTCTTCGTGATTCTCTATATGGTAAAATAATTACAGAAAATCTCAAATAAATGCCGAAAGCCTTGAGCAGTCGAGCCCATTGTTCATGTTCGTAATGGACGATAAATAATCATTATTGTCGAAACCCGATTCAGTTCACGTATACTGTATATGTGGTATCTATACTAATATTATAAAGCTGAAGAGTTTGTTTGTTTGTTTGTTTACTTGAACGCGCTAATCTCCGGAAATACTGGTCCGATTTGAAAAATTCTTTCAGTGTTAGATAGCCCATTTATCGAGGAAGGCTATAGGCTATACAACATCACGCTACGATCAATAGGAACAGAGCAATAATGAAAAATGTTGCGAAAACGGGTTTTCACGCGTACGAAGTCGCGGGCACAGCTAGTAGTATAATATACGAGTAGTATAGTATGAATCTGCGGCATGAATGATGCGTGCGCATTGTGACTGGAGTTCTAAATAAGGTTGTGTAGTTTTTAATGTTTTGTTTATTGGACTTATTTAATCCTATTTCAAAGTCAAAGTCAAGATTCTTTTATTTCTGGACTATTAAAATAGTGCTAACACGTCGTCAAATACATATTAGAATAAAAACTTAGTACAATTTGAGAAAAGTAAATTGAGTAGTGTATATCGTTTAAGTTATTTAGCTACAAACTTACTTTATTTCATCAGATCAAAACTTATATGTTACATGGATTGTTCCCATATTTCTTTTTTAACCGGACTTACCTTAGACCCTCGTTTCCACCTGCCTACAAGAGACTCGCTGGTGTTAAAGCACTTATTCATGATCTTAACAAAACTAAAGGTACTGGAGTCCCTACTATATTTTTTTCCTAGAACACCTTTACTGGTTGGGTTTATCAGCGTTCAAGCTTCACATCTTGCCTACACAAGGGGTTGCAGCCGTGAGAATAACACCCGAATTCACAAACGATGCTTGCTTAAGTGAAGCAGCAAATCGAACGCAGAACGTTGAATAGAGCTATGTGATTGGTTCGTGTGTCATCCTGTGCGTCCACGCGCACTGTGCGACCTCATAGTAATGTTTGTGAATACGGGCGTTTGACTCCCATTAAACTACAGACTTTTAGTCGGCCGATAGTTGGGCCCGATTATAATTTGTATGAAGAATCGGCCGATACCAAATCGGTGTAACGTGCGTACTCTCATACATTGACTGATTAACAGCCCGTCCCAACTATCCGCTAGCTAAACGGTGGTCTGCGCCTAGATAAGAGGTGCGAATAGTCCCGTAAGTGACGACCTAGGCTACCATTACGAACATAGGTTACTTATCTATGACTAAACTCCTCCAATGAGTACTAAACCAGTCAGCATTCCGCCACGTCCAGCAAAATCAACACATTAACAGACACCATGTTAGTTTTGCATATCGATAGCCGTATCTTGGAACCACCCGATAAAACTGTCCGCGTGAGAAACAAAAAGTCCTACATTCGTTCTCTAATAGTGTCCACGGCTAAGACGGACGGTTGGACTGTGGTCCAAGGTACAGAATTGAGAAATAACCACCATTTTAAAATCATCATAGATGTTACTAACCTGTTACCAAAACTTTCAACATTTTCAAACGTTTGCCATGAAAGTCTCGATTTCTTCGATAGTTTTTACAAAAATATTTATTTCCTTGGTAGTCTGAAATGTGCTTTCTAGCGATGTCTAAATTATTGTGCTTTTCCGACTTGTCTAGTTCTTATAAGTAAACTAGCGGCCGCCCGCGACTTCGTACGCGTGGACCCCGTTTTACACCCTAAGGGGGTTGAATTTTGCACTACTTACTCGTACGTTCTAAAAAGAATCCTCATGCAAAATTTAAGAGTTCTAGCACATGTAGTTTCTGAGATTTCGTCAGTCAGTGACTTGAAGAACTGAAAAATTGGTGTGTAAAAATCAAGAGTTGGTAACTACTACCTACTTTAACCTACCTATGAATTAACCTCTTTCGTAAGAATTACACATATTATTTTGAAATGCCTACCCACATTTTATCACCTCTTCATCTATAACTTGGTCCACCCCCAATCCGCAGGGGTCCCCTAATTTATTTGAAGGCTCTATTACTGGCAAGTGCCAACTAGTAAGGCCTTTTTATTTATGCGCCGGTAAACTATTTACATATCAAGTTACTGGACCGATACGAATGCGTTTCGTCCCCGAGTTGGACGCGGTAACGTGTTAAGGTATGTTTCTGCGATGGGTCGTATATTGGAAAAATATTTATATGAATAAGCGTGGGAGGGTTACGGTTTTGTAATAGAGTTTAAGAAATATATTTTGTAGTAAAATACTTAATACTCGTCTTTATTCGAGTCAAAAGGAGAGAAATAAAAGACAGAAAACAATGTTTTTTTAATATGAACAAAACATAGTTACATGCACAATGTGCATAGAAATTTTATTAAATTATGCCATGATATAACCATTTCAGTGGAATACAAGAACATAAATATTCTACAGACAAAATACAAACAGATTAACTGATACTAACGATAAAAACGGTCTTTAAATTCTTACCTTACAAACGTTGAATCACTTTGGAACAATATACGAGGATAATTAGGTAATTAATCAGTTCTTCACTAAAGCTCCAAATGAGTATTAAAATGGACAGAGTTTCCTCAAGATCCGCCCGTAGAATGGCACAATATGGGAGATTCCCCCATTTTTATACCCGTAATGTCATACATGTTCCATTAATAATTCAGGAGCAGCTCACGTGTGATAATCGCTCCTGAATATGTGACAGCAAGACAGCCATGACGTATCTGAATGAACATTGGAATTATCCGTCTGGATTAATTTATTCTTAATCAAGCAAGGACATGGAAATTTCTAAGAAAATTCAGAAATTAGAGCACGTGTCTGGAAGTCAAAGACGTGTGATAAGGTGACTGAGCATTGGCCAACCCAAAAATAGGTGATTCGTGAATATTCATCGTAAAGTCAGTATAAAAGCTGGGAGGCCTAGCTGAAGAATCACATTCGAACTCTAGGAAGCAGTAGCACCTCAAGACAACATCACTTCAAGTAACCAGTCAGAAGAAACCAAATAAACCATGAAGACTCAGATCCTGATCCTTCTGGCCATCACCTGCCTCTCGTCCTTCGGATCCGCGTCTTCCTCCACTCAGATCCTGTGCGGCAGACGTCTTGCCAACACCCTGGCCTACATGTGCTATGACGAGTCTGTGGAGAAGAGATCTGGCTCCAACCGGCTGGAAGACAAGTACTGGTGGACCGGAGCCTTGGGGTCCAGGGGCAAGCGAGGAGGCGTCGTGGAGGAATGCTGCGAGAAGCCCTGCAGCATTGATGAGCTACTGTCTTATTGTTAGAGGCTGGTCTAATTGTTGTGGTTAATGACGTCAAAGGAAGGTTTAATGAGGAATAAAGATGATGTTGTCAATTATTTATTTGTTTCAATTTGTCCATTGATTAGATTAGACAACCTAGGACATCTTCAAAAGTACAAAGAGGCAAGAGGCAATAGAATTTTCTTCCAAACTGATATTTTGTTACAAAAAGTTTGATAATTTTGGAACGTTGGGTTAGTAAAAGACTGTTCATAGTAAAGTAGCAATAAATTTTATAATAAAAATACTAAAAATAGAATATTATTTGAAACAGCTTTATGTAGGTACTTACGAAAGATTTAATCTTATTTATAAGATTTTGCATAGATAACTGCTCTCAGCAACCTTTATAAATGTTTCCAAAGATCCACTCGAAATAAAATCGTTCAAGTAAACAGACAAACGTCTGATCGTTAGATATGCGCCCTTCTGACGGGCTCTGCGTTTCCTTTAATTCGGCTTTTACTTTGGCTGTTGGTAGTGTTACCATTCGTCTATATTAGTCCGGACATTATCCGAATTTTCATCTTGGATCCATAATTATGCTGTACAACATTGGTTCCCAAACTTATATGAGACGCGCCCCCTTTCGAACATACAAACCATTCCGCGCCCCCCTCCTCCAGTCAAGATTATTTATTGGTCGTATCGAGCAGTCTGGAATGCATTCTCTCAGCGGTCGCAGGTTTTTTATACTTAAGTACACAGATGGCCTGCGCCCCCCTTTAAAGGTCTTTCGCGCCCCCCACTTTGAGAACAAATGCTCTACAGTCTTATAGTATTCCTGATTTTAACTAGCACGGTGCCAAAAGGCTTAGTTATTATTTTCTTGTTTTTTGTCAGGACTTTTGAAGGTTTGATATGGTAACCCTAGTGTCGGAGGCCGAATTAATTTCCGCTGCGGGGAGCAGAAGGGCCCTTACCTCAAAGCTTTGGCCACAGTTTAGAACACGTTGGCAAAAAGTTTAGCAATCAGTGCTTAGGTAAAAATTAAATTCATGTCTGAGATTTTAAAACAAATTGCTACTACTTAGTATTGATTATTACGAGTACAATTATACAGAAATATTCTACACGAATATTCGCTGTTTTATAGTTTCCTAACGAATTTTCATTCAATATATCTCTTATAGTCCTATGCAAAGGGTAGAAAAAAATAGCGTCAGGGTTCTAGAATCAATAATGTTTTTTATTAAAATGTAATTGATTATAAATTATTTAACTGAAAATCCGTGGTTTTTGTTTCAATTAGTAAACTTCCTTTTATTAAATATATTGGATCCTAGACTGCATCTTACTTAACAACAGTTGCGATATTGCAGTCTAATATGTACCTGCCTTTTATTCATAAAAAATCTCTGAATTTTTTATATTTTGTTGGTAGTGATTTTATAAGAATCAAGTTTTCCGATGTTCTTTTAATTGCAAGGCCCTATCAAATATTAGCGATGATCAGCACAAATCGATACAAAATAAAAGGTATTTAATAAATTGATCAAAATGAATGTTAACCGCCCTTGCGGCCTGAAATGCGAGCTTATTTTAATTGAGGGCATAAATCACTACTTGAGAGGATATAAATATCGTTATTTCTTTTGGGGTTACTTGTACGGAAGTTCAAATTTTTAACCACAAAGTCACCCTGACTTCACACGGTTTAAGTCACATGATAATGCAATCCTTATTAAAATCAGTCAAGTATTTATTAATTATGATACTCACAAATACATTCAGAGAGCATTTTAGTTTTACTCAGTTTTGAGATGTTGTGTTGAAACTTATTTGTTTGTAACTTTGCCCTTTCACTTGCAAATTAGTTCTACGAATAAAATGTAAAATCCTAGAACTACGAAATAATAACTAACGTCATATAAATTACTATGAAATAGATTAAAATTAAGTCCTGTAGACCTTTTACAGTGGCTTTATCAGTACGTTCATTTTAGAGGAAGTAAATTCATGATCATGAGCCATCTAGCTAAGTACCTAGTGCGAAAGTGGTTAGAGTCATTCGTTACATATTAAAGGTTAAACTTTCGCATAGTTTCCGGATGAACTTTTCTTACTCAGAGTTTATAATTAATTTTAACTAACTTCCTGTAATTTCATTAGTGGTGTTGTAGAAAAGTGTTTCTTACATTTTATTAAATCTTAAGAGTTAGACATTAAATACTAAGTATTTTATACAGCGTACGGAACCATTAATTCTCATCTCAAACACAAACGATTATTCAACTCATAAATCGTTTAATGTTCCGTTAATTTTGAGGATCGTGATCAGAATGTGGAGCGGGATCGATATTAAGTGTTTATTTATTGTTCCAGAAATAAACTTGAGACCATTAAACATTAACTCTTATTGGTGGAATCACCAATAAACTTAACCAAAAACAGGGTTGAAATTATAGGACCCAAATAATTTGCAATCATTTTATTCAAATGTCATCCAACATTCCCTAACTCCAGAAATTTAGCAATATGTGAGCAGCTCATCAATTGAGCAAGGCTTCTCGCAGCACTCTGAGACCACTCCCCCCCTCTTGGGCTTCGCAGCCAGCGCCTCCGCCGGCGCCCGCAGCCAGGAGCGCCCGAGCACCTCGTAGTCGGCGCCGGAGCGCCCGAGCCCCTCGTAGTCGGCGCCGGAGCGCCCGAGCGCCTCGTAGTCGGCGCTGGAGCGCCCGAGCTCCTCGTAGTCGGCGCCGGAGCGCTTGCTGGCCGCCTCGTACGGGCACAGCACAGCCAGCGTGTTCGCCAGCTTCCTCCCGCAGAAGAACTGCGAGTCCGCCGACACGTACACGAAGGCGGCGACAACGAACAGGATTTGAGTCTTCATCTTGTTATCCAGATGCTATTTGGCTTGGAGGGCTGATGTGTAATGTGGTACAATGTAAGAACCTGTCCTTTTTATACCAATTTAAGGCTTTAGCTAAGTTATTTTGATAATGTGTAGGAAGATGCTAATGTGTTATTAACATGGATTATCTATTCAGGTGAGAAATTCACATATGATCTTTGTAGACATTTATGACGTCACTGGATTGCCTTTCACGTCAACATTTGAATATTGATGAGGTGGTACGGTATATAAGGGAAGCGTCTTCAGTTGCGGGCCATTCGTGTGGGATCCCTTGGAGTAGCGCGAAGTAGTTAAGTTAGTAACTAACTAGTGATGAGGAGCCGCGTGTTGTTTTTGCTGGTGGGCCTGGTGGTGTTGGCGGCGGTGGCGGCAGGTGATGGGCAGTTCTTCTGCGGGCGGCGGCTGGCCAACACGCTGGCGCAGCTGTGCCCGGGCGCCGACAAGCGCGCGGCGCTGGGCTGGTGGCGGCGCGGCAAGCGCGGTGGCGTGGTGGCCGAGTGCTGCGACAACCCCTGCACCATCGACGAGCTGCTCTCCTACTGCTAGTGCAATCCAGCCATGTTAACGCCGATTTGATGTGAAATATACTTTCAACTGAAGTTTTCGTCCTTTCTTTTACTACTACAACTGCACCATCGACGAGCTGCTCTCCTACTGCTAGTGCTGCCACTCTGTTCAAGTTAACACTGATTTGATGTCAAATATACTTTAAACTAAACGTTATCGTCCTTTATTTTACTACTACACCTGCACTATCGATGAGCTGCTCTCCTACGGCTAGTGCAATCCAGACATGTTAACGCTACTTTGATGAGAAATATATTTACTTTGAATTGGAGTTACTTATCGTCCTTTCTTTTACTACTACACCTTTTTAGGTATGTAAATAGGAACATGAAAGAAAAGCCCGCTGGAATACACTAAATTGAAAGACTATGACTACGAGTAGGCATTTTTGTATAGGAATAGGGAAGTATCTATACTTATATACCTACACCAAGATTAACATTTATTTAATTTAAAAAAAGGATAAAAATATTTTCAATTATTTTCAGTAAGAGGCTCAGAGCCTAGAACTTAATGAGCTCTTTTACGAGGTAGAGAGGACCTAGCATGTAACTTTAACCACAGATTTAACTACTAAACGTTAGGCTGGTTACCAAGACACTACCTTATTGACTATTTATACAAATTAATTAGTATAAGGACGTCAATCTTTTTTTGAGAATTCGGATGTTGTTGCCGTAGGAAAGTTGAATACATTTGCACAGTAGTATCAATCCTTTTTGTTTGACCATCCCCCACTGGGTCACATTACTTATTTTATAAGTAGTTGCGGCTTCGCAAGAGTCAATGAATGTCTGAATATCATATTTCATGGATTTTTATTAGTATACATTGTTATCACACAAAGGTATTTTATTATTCGTATGGCTAACTAGAGAAAATAATCTTTGCTCATCTGCTATATTTTCCATTTTATTTTTACAATTTTCTCCCAAGTTCAAAATCCATCTGGTATTAAAAAAATATCCAAATTTTTAATATGCACAGGAACAAAAAATCTCCTTATCCAAAGTTTTCCAATTTCATTGATACATTAATTCATTGATAATTTAATTACTGTTAGTTGTAGGGTGCGTAAGACTCTCCATATCTACACATACGTCACCTACGTCACTTTCATACTTTTGTGATTAAAGATTTCGACTTTCAACGCAAACTTAATTTTTTCTTTTTTTAATATTCTTTTTAACGTATGTAAGATCTAATGTAACTCAAAAACTTGATTTATCTGCCTAGTCTCCCATGATTTGGCTTTGAATGTATTCTATCGGGCTATTGACATGACGTGTGCATGTACCTACAATTCCCCTTACAAAAGTGTACTTAACATAAGAAAAGACGATAACTCCAGTAAAGTTCAAATCATTATCATTCATTCCGTAGTCATGTTCATGGTGCAGGTGTAGTAGTAAAAGAAAGGACGAAAACTTCAGTTAAAAGTATATTTGACATCAAATCAGTGTTAACTAGAACAGAGTGGCAGCACTAGCAGTAGGAGAGCAGCTCGTCGATGGTGCAGGGGATGTCGCAGCACTCGGCCACCACGCCGCCGCGCTTGCCGCGCCGCCACCAGCCCAGCGCCGCGCGCTTGTCGGCGCCCGGGCACAGCTGCTGCGCTTATGTACCTGGAATTATGCAAATAAAGAAATTTGATTTGATTTGCGCCAGCGCGTTGGCCAGCCGCCGCCCGCAGAAGAACTGCCCGCGCTGCCACCAGCACCACCAGAAATAACAACACGCGGCTCCTCATAACTCATCATCAACAGCCTGCAAAGGGCTGTTGATGATGAGTTATGAGGAGCCGTCCGTCTTGTCGGCCGTTTGGTGTAGTGGTTCAGAACGGACTACTATGCCGAGAGGTCTCGGGTTCGATTCCCGGCCGGGCAGAAATTGAAATGATGAATTTTAATTTCTGTGACGGGTCTGGGTGTTACTATGTATAATATGTATATATTAAAAAAAAAGTATACATATAAGTAGTATATCCGTTAAGCTAGCACCCATAACACAAGCATATTAATTGCCTACTTTGGGGCTAGATGGCGCTGTGTGAGATTGTCCAAAGATATTTATTTATTTGTCCAAAGATATTTATGAGGAGCCCACTGCTGGACTATGAGTCTTCTCCACTTTACTGGAGGGTTTTGCCATAATCTCCACGCTTGGCAGGCGGATTGGAGATCGCAGTTTAAAAGATTAATGTTTATCAGAGATCGCTGCTGCCCGTTCTCTGTTTAATGTGTAGTCCCTAAGTCGCCTCTTACGATACCCGCGGGAAAAGTAGGGGTTGGTGACAAATGTATTCTACTCTGCCGTCACCACACGGCGTCATGACTTTACTAACTTAACTACTTCGTGCAAGGGATCCCACGCGAATGTCCCGCAACTGAAGACGCTTCCCTTATATACCGTACCGCTTCATTAATATTCAAATGACCTGAAAGGCAATCCAGTGACGTCATAAATGTCTACCACGATCACATGTGAGTTTCACACCTGAATAGATAATTATTTGAGTAATAAGGGCACATTAGCATCTTCCTACACATCATCAAAATAACTTGGCCAGAGCCTGAAATTGGTATAAAAAGGACACGTTCTTACATTGTACCACATTACACATCAGCCCTCCAAGCCAAGTAGCATCTGGATAACAAGATGAAGACCCAAATCCTGTTCGTTCTCGTTGCCTTCGTGTACGTGTCGGCGGACTCGCAGTTCTTCTGCGGGAGGAAGCTGGCGAATACGCTGGCGGTGCTGTGTCCGTACGAGGCGGCCAGCAAGCGCTCCGGCGCCGTCTACCAGGCGTTCGGGCGCTCCGGCGCCGCCTACGAGGGGCTCGGGCGCTCCGGCGCCGACTACGAGGGGCCCGGGCACACCGGCGACGACTACGAGGCGCACGGGCGCTCCGGCGCCGACTACGAGGGGCCCGGGCACACCGGCGACGACTACGAGGCGCACGGGCGCTCCGGCGCCGACTACGAGGGGCCCGGGCACACCGGCGACGACTACGAGGCGCTCGGGCGCTCCGGCGCCGACTACGAGGCGCTCGGGCGCTCCGGCGCCGGCTACAAGGGGCCCGGGCGCTCCTGGCTGCGGGCGCCGGCGGAGGCGCTGGCCGCGAAGCCCAAGAGGGGGGGAGTGGTCTCGGAGTGCTGCGAGAAGCCTTGCTCAATTGATGAGCTGCTCACATATTGCTGATAAGTGAATAGTCTGTTGTGTGAAATGTTGAATGATTTTGAATAAATGACTGTAAATTATTTGGATTTTCAAATGTTTTTATTGGTATTTGCTAAATTGTCCTACTTTTGGTTCCCTGATGGTTAAAGAAAGCTACCTATGCAAATAATTTCGTGTAATCCAATGCCAGATAGTAGTAAAATATGGACAGAAAAGCTTTACGACGAAGCTTTTGAATATCTAGCTAGAATCTAGAGTTGGATACAGCTCTAATATACTCGTAGTTTGTGTACATACTCCCTTTCCCTATTAACATAATAATATAACATGCTCTTTGCTGACCTTTACTTTTGATGGTCTGTAATATCAAGTTAATGTTCACAATGATCACCGACTTTATAAAAATATTAATTTTATAGTAGTGAGTGAAAAATATGATCAAATACTTGCCTTGCTCTGCATAAAAATAACTTATTAAGTAGTTAGTTAAATGAACAAATAATACTCAGTAACCAATCACAGTCTTATAAGTCCCCCATATATTATAGAAACTTACTTATTACGAGTAGGTACCTATTACATATTACAGTAGTAATAAGCTGTACATTATCATCAAACAGTACAGTAATTAAATTAAATTAACGAATGAAAAGCTATACTTTTCCTTTTGTGTTCTCAAGCTACTGTTCAAAAGTTAATAACAAGCCTGAAAGCGTTTACGTTTACCTTAAATTCGTTACTGGAGCGAGTTTGGTGACAGCTTTGTTTTTGCCGCGACTTTATTTGACTTTTCCGCCCCAGTTTGACTTATTGTAAGTTGGGGCGAGTTGGACAAACTGTTGAATTACTAACAAGCGAGCTATATTGGTTCGAATTTAAAAAAGGTTAAGTGCGAGGTAAAGGTATTATAAAGTTGAAAAGGCAAAAAAGATTATGCGCTACATTTCCTTCCATAACATTAAATGAGTGTTTAAAATGAATTTTAAAACATTTAAATAAAAAGATTACCCTGAGAAGGATTGGAACCCACGATCTTACGCTTGATTGATCTACATATTTGAGGTAGAGAAAGGAGTTGAAATTAGAAGCGCAAAAGTACAGTTTCTTTAGTAAGGTAGGATTATTCTTATTAATACATTCACCACCTACTTACATATTGTAGCATAGACGCATGAAAATGCCATACTGAAAAAATCTGTGATTGATTTCTGACTGAATGAATCTGTTTTTTTGTGAAGTGGGTGTTCTTATTTATAAAAACCAGTCAACATATATCGACGGAGCGTTATGGTAGAGCGTTAAATAATTAACTCTAAAGTAAATATATTATCTGTTTCTTTTCTAAATACTTTTGATTTGCTTTGTGACGCAGTAAAGCGATCTAACATAGCAGTAGTAGATATTTTTTTGGAAAATAGACTAATTCTTACAGTAAAATGATATCAAGATGGTATGTAAGATATTTAAAATAAAAAAAAGTTGTCGGGGATTACATAATATACTTTATTACTTATAAACGAACACAGATAAGTAGGTACAATCTATGGTGTAAGATAATATCCACGAATATTTACATGAGAGTATTATATTCACTACTAATTACTTTCTAATCTTATGCTACGGGCTCGACCTTATGTTAATTACACCTAAACACATAGTAAGATAATCTTAATTACATCCAGAATTTAATAATAAATTGTTTAATAAGCTTACATATTGAAGGAGATTACAGTAATGAGTAAATTAAGAGGTAGGAATAATAAAGGGACTTTTAAAAGAGAGAGGATACTTTAACAGTAAGCGAGCAGTTCGTCAAAGGTGCAGGGTTTCTCGCAGCATTCAGTGGCCACCCCGGAGACGTTTCTCTTCTTCTTGAAGGCCTTAGCCTGTGGAGGCAACCAGGGCCATCCGGTCTCCTGGATATAGTTCACAACCACATCCATGCTGGATCTCTTGCCGATGTTGTGTGTCCGGCACAGACTCGCCAAAGCATTGGACAGAGCCCTGCCGCAGAAGTACTGAGCAGAGTTTGCACCTTCTGGCAGCNTAATAAAAATATTTTCAATTATTTTCAGTAAGAGGCTCAGAGCCTAGAACTTAATGAGCTCTTTTACGAGGTAGAGATAACTTAGCATGTAACTTTAACCACAGATTTCCGGCAATACTTTAACGACTAAACGTTAGGCTGGTTACCAAGACACTACCTTATTGCCTACTTATACAAATGAATTAGTATAAGGACGTCAATCTTTTTTTGAGAATTCGGATGTTGTTGCCGTAGGAAAGTTGAATACATTTGCACAGTAGTATCAATCCTTTTTGTTTAACCATGTATCAATGGGTCACATTACTTATTTTATAAGTAGTTGCGCCTTCGCGAGAGTCAATGAAAGTCTGGATTTCATAATAATTCATGGATTTTTATTAGTACTTTGTTATCAGACAAAGGTATTTCAATATTCGTATGGCTAACTAGAGAAAAAAATCTTTGCTCATCTGCTATTGTTACTGTTTATGTTAAGGAAATCCGATTAATCGTTTTAAGGCCTCTGTGGTCTAGTGGTAAGACCACCTGCTTCAGACGCAGAGGTTCCTGGTTCGATTCCCAGAGGCGGCAGATTTTTCTGTTCGGTTTGGTTTATGGTAGGGCTTGTTCTAAGTCCGCCTGGCTTGCTAACACCATGTTACCAAGTCTGTCGCCATAACAACAATGTTAACAGCATTATTGTGTTCCGGCAGTTAGAGGTAAGATAGCCAGTTCCTCCGTGGTTGAGGATTTCGGGTGAAGCTCGCTTCCACCTTCGGCCTGATCGTCACTTACCATAAGGTGAGATACAGGCCAAGCGCTTCCTCGTTGTGGATAAAAAGGCAATCAGTGAAATAGGTTCCATTATCATTATAATTACATTTTTAATTCATTGATAATTTAATTACTGTTAGTTGTAAGGGTGCGTGAGACTCCCCATACACATAGGTACCTACGTCACTTTCATGCTTTTGTGATTAAAGTTTTCGCCTTTCAACGCAAACTTAAGTTTTTATTTTATTAATATTCTTCTTAGCGTATGAAAGATGTAACTTTAAAACTTGATTATCTGCCTAGTCTCCCATAATTTAGCTTTGAATATACAGCTTTATATTCTATTTTATTCTAATAGAATTTATTAGCTACATATTCTAGAGGAGATATGGAGAGGGCTATGCTTGGTGTTTCTTTGCGAGATCGAATCAGAAATGAGGAGATCCGTAAACGAACCAAAGTCGCTGACATAGCCCGACGGATTAGCAAGCTGAAGTGGCAATGGGCAGGGCACATAGTACGCAGAACTGACGGCCGATGGGGCAGAAAGGTTCTGGAATGGAGGCCGCGTACCGGAAAACGCAGCGTGGGACGTCCACCTACAAGGTGGACCGACGACATCGTAAAGGTAGCAGGGAAGCGCTGGACGCAGACCGCTGACAATCGATCAACATGGAAAGCATTGGGGGAGGCCTATGTTCAGCAGTGGACGTCCTATGGCTGAGATGATGATGATGATGATGATATTCTAGCGGGCTATTACCATGTGTGTCCACCTATAAATCCCCTTACAAAATGTACTTAACGCAAGAAAAGACAATAACTCCAGTTTAAAATATATATATTTCCCATCAAATCAGCGTTAGGAGAGCAGCTCGTCGATGGTGCAGGTGTACTATGTAGTATAAGAAAGGACGAAAACTTCAGTTAAAAGTATATTTCACATCAAATCAGTGTTAACTTGAACAGTGTGGCAGCACTAGCAGTAGGAGAGCAGCGCCGCGTGCTCATGTCATATCATATGACTCATCATCAACAGCCCTTTACAGCCCACTGCTGGACTATGAGCCATAGCCATGAGGGTTTTGCCATAATCTCCACGCTTGGCAGACGGATTGGAGATCGCAGTTTAAAATATTAATGTTTATCAGAGAGCGCTGCTGCCCGTTCTCTGTTTAATGTCCTAGTCCCTAAGTCGCCTCTTACGACACCCGCGGGAAGAGTAGGGGTTGGTGACAAATGTATTCTACTCTGCCGTCACCACACGGCGTCATGACTACTTACTAACTTAACTACTTCATGCAAGGGATCTCACGCGAATGTCCCGCAACTGAAGACGCTTCCCTTATATACCGTACCGCTTCATCAATATTCAAATGTTGACCTGAAAGGCAATCCAGTGACGTCATAAATGTCTACCACGATCACATGTGAGTTTCACACCTGAATAGATAATTATTTGAGTAATAAGGGCACATTAGCATCTTCCTACACATCATCAAAATAACTTGGCCAGAGCCTGAAATTGGTATAAAAAGGACAGGTTCTTACATTGTACCACATTACACATCAGCCCTCCAAGCCAAGTATCATCAGGATAACAAGATGAAGACCCAAATCCTGTTCGTTCTCGTTGCCTTCGTGTACGTGTCGGCGGACTCGCAGTTCTTCTGCGGGAGGAAGCTGGCGAATACGCTGGCGGTGCTGTGTCCGTACGAGGCGGCCAGCAAGCGCTCCGGCGCCGTCTATCAGGCGCTCGGGCGCTCCGGCGCCGCCTACGAGGGGCTCGGGCGCTCCGGCGCCGACTACGAGGCGCTCGGGCACACCGGCGACGACTACGAGGCGCTCGGGCGCTCCGGCGCCGACTACGAGGGGCCCGGGCGCTCCTGGCTGCGGGCGCCGGCGGAGGCGCTGGCTGCGAAGCCCAAGAGGGGGGGAGTGGTGGCGGAGTGCTGCGAGAAGCCTTGCTCTATTGATGAGCTGCTCACATATTGCTGATTTAAAGTTAATTATAGTCTTTTGTATGGGATGTTGTATGAATTTGAATAAATAGCTGTAATGTAAATTATTTGGATTTTGAATTCTTACTTTGATTCTTAACTTATATGTACTATGCTAAGTTTTGGCCTGTTTTTGGTTCCTTGTTGGTAGAAGAAAGCTACCGATGCATACAATTTCGTGTAATCTATACTTATAATAAATCTGTAGAGAGGTCAATTCTGTACATGAAATATATTTTCAAAATAACTATCAGGGGATGATTAGTGATCGATACTGATGCCAAAAATGCAATCAGTAAATCTTTTGTCTGTCTGTCTGTCTGTATGTTTCTGATAGAAACAAAAACTACTCGACGGATTTTAACGAAACTTGGTACAATTATTCTTCATACTCCTGGGCAGGTTATAGTATACTTAGGAATTCCCACGAGAACGGAAATTAGCGGGAAAATCCTTTTGTATGAAAAAACTAAACCTTAGTAAACTTAAGGCTTAGTTACAACAGGATATTGCAAAATTCCCACGGGAACGGGAGCTAGCGGGAAAAAACATTTGTATGAAAAAATCTAAACCGCGTAAGATAGATGAAGGGGGTTAAAACGGGTTCCACGCGTACGAAGTCGTGGGCGGCCATTAGTTCCTACATAATAAGGTAACATGCTCTTTGCTAACCTTTACTTTGACGATCTGAAATCATCTGCGACTTTATTTAAAAAATTGGAAGTGTTTTGCATATAAATTACTGCACTCATTTTTAATTTTATTACTAGGAAAAACTAGGAACATCAAGGATCACACTTATTAAGTAGGTAAACTAACAAATAAGCACTCAGTAACCACTTACAAGTTTCCACATATAGAAATTACAATAAGTAGAGGTACGTAGTACATAAGAGGTGTATCTACTTAATTAAAGTACCATCATGAGCTTATACATTATCACCAAACAGTACAGTAATTAAATTAAATTAACGAATGAAAAGCTATACTTTTCCTTTTGTGTTCTCAAGCTACTGTTCAAAAGTTAATAACAAGCCCGAAAGCGTTTACGTTTACCTTAAATTCGTTACTGGAGCGAGTTTGGTGACAGCTTTGTTTTTGCCGCGACTTTATTTGACTTTTCCGCCCCAGTTTGACTTGTTTTAAGTTGGGGCCAGTTGGACAAACTGTTGAATTACTAACGGGAGAGTTATACCTATATTGGTTGGAATTAATGAAAGAAGCTAGGTGCAAGATTAAAATGCCAAGCAAAAAGTGACGTAATATTTTCGTCCATATTATTATTTTGAATGAAATGAAAATGAAATATCCTTAGTGGGACTCGAACCCACGACCTTTCACTCAGTGTTGCCAACTCGGATTTTGAAAAAGTCGTAGGACAGATTAGAAAATTACGTAGAAATGGTACAATTTCCATAGGGGCCGTCCATAAATTACGTCATCGATTTTTTCAGATTTTAGACCCCCCCCCCCTACAATCATCCTAGCGTCATTTCTTAATGACCCCCCCCCCTTCTCCCAAAATTGACGTCATTACCAGTTTGACAAAATTAAAACACTTGTAGAATCACCTTTTATTTTTTTTTAATAGATAGAGTGATTCTTAAGGAAGGTTTATATGTATAATACACGTAAGTACCACGGGCGAAGCCGGGGCGGGCAGCTAGTATTATATGTANCGACGCCGGGGCGGGCAGCTAGTATGAGTTATTTTAATATTGGACGCGCCTTAGCCGCCTCTCACATTTGCAGCCTCACATTTTTGTACGTGAACAATAAACTATAAATAAATAAATAAGAATGACGTCAATTTCGAAACATCCCCCCCCTAATTTAGAATGACGTAATATATGGACGGCCCCATATAGAAAATACGTAGATCTACGTACTTTTTTTTCTGAGTGAAATGAAGAGAGTAGGGGTAGGTAAAAGTAATAAAACGACAATTTATGTTACCCTAAAAGTAGTAAAGTACACTTTTATTGGGTATCATTTTCAGAAAAACTAAATTTATACATAATTATATTTGTTGGAAAGAAGGAAGTTGAAAAATATCGAAATACAACAACACCTTCGAAATCTTAGCACAATCTCAGTTCGAAATATTTTTATAGCGTCAGTGACATTTACAGGGGGGCGCTGTACAGCATTTTTTCTATGGGGAAATGTCAAAATAACATTAGTTCCGACTTTTGCCACATGCCAAATAACCGTGATCGGAACCATGATCGAACTTTTTCGCGAAATTAAAGGAAACGATGCCCATTCAGCCTATTTTGCAAATTTGATAGAAAATACGTAGATTCTGGGACTAAAGTTCGTAGGTTGGCAAGGAAGGCTTAAAATACGTAGAGTTGGCAACCCTGCTTTCACTTGCCGGACGATTGATATCTTTGAGGTAGAGGTTTGCAATAAGCGCAAACATATTAGTTTCCTTAGAAAGCTAGGTGAGATTTTTCTTATTAATCCACTAGTACCCGCCCCGACTTCGTACGGGTGCTAAATATTATTATAAACCTTCGTCTTGAATCACTCTATCTATTGAGAAAAACCGCATCAAAATCCATTGCGTCGTATTAAAGATTTAAGCATACACATAGGGACAGACAGACAGGAAAGCGACTTTGTATTATAGCAAGGTACGAGTAGGTACTAAGTAGTGATCATTCACCACCTACTCGTACCTACATAGTTTAGTATATGCATGTAGTAGATGCATGAAAATGACATACTAAAAAAATCAGTGATTGATTTCTGACTGAATGAATGTGATTTTTGCGAAGTGGGTTTTTATAAAACCAGTAAACCCGACGGAAAGATATTGTAGAGCGTTAAATAAATTACGCTAATAATTATATTAAGTAACTGTTTGACAATGTAACATTCGGTAGAGATTAAGGCCGGGTTGCCCCATTTTACTTTAACTTTGACAAACGTCAAAAATCTGTCAAACACCATACAAAAACTACCGGTTATTGTTATTGTCAGGGTTAAAATAAGGTGGTGTAACTCAGCCTTAGTAGTTTTCTAATTAAATAATTTGCTTTGTGACGTTGCATTAACATAGCAGCAGCAGTAGATATTTTTTTGGAAAATATACTAATTCTTACAGTAAAATGATATCAATATGATATGTAAGATATTTAAAATAAAAAAAAGTTGTCGGGGATTACATAATATACTTTATTACTTATAAACGAACACATATAAGTAGGTCTACAATCTATGGTGTAAGATAATATCCACGAATATTTACATGAGAGTATTATATTCACTACTAATTACTTTCTAATCTTATGCTACGGGCTCGACCTTATGTTAATTACACCTAAACACATAGTAAGATAATCTTAATTACATCCAGAGTTTAATAATAAATTGTTTAATAAGCTTACATATTGAAGGAGATTACAGTAATGAGTAAATTAAGAGGTAGGAATAATAAAGGGACTTTTAGAGGAGAGAGGATACTTTAACAGTAAGCGAGCAGTTCGTCAAAGGTGCAAGGTTTCTCGCAGCATTCGGTGGCCACCCCGGAGACGTTTCTCTTCTTCTTGAAGGCTTTAGCCTGTGGAGGCAACCAGGGCCACCCGGTCTCCTGAATATAGTTCACAACCACATCCATGCTGGATCTCTTGCCGATGTTGTGTGTCCGGCACAGACTCGCCAAAGCATTGGACAGAGCCCTGCCGCAGAAGTACTGAGCAGAGTTTGCACCTACTGGCAGCCACACGGAGCTGACCATGATCAGGAACATGGCTGCAGGCAGCTTCATTGTGACCCAACACGCACGGCGCACGTGCAAGAGTCAACTGAGCAGGCGATTGGGGTGGCTCGTCCTTTTATACCCGTGCTCGCTTGAATATTCATTATTTGCGGGATGCATTTACGGGAATTCGGAGTTTGACGTCATACCCATTGTTATCGCCAGGTCACGAGCAGTCACCTGTGTGAGCACAGCTTTGTCTTAAGGCGATGTGACAGACGTTATCCAACCTACGCATTTCTAAATAGAGAAAAACAATACGAAAGGCGATATGTCTGTAGAGATAATGGGTGAGCTGTCCATCAGATTCTAATAGCTCTTTTACTCGATAAGTAATCTCTAAAAATACTCCGAGTGACTTTGGCTTATCATGGAAATATAATTGCAAAAAGCTCCAAGTCTGGATAAGATAATATTTATCCAAGGCAAGCGGAGTCGCTGGAAGAGCCTATATTAATACCTAGTTGAATAAATTAATATAGTAATTGAATATTCATGGTGTGGTTTTGGTATAAAATGGAGCAATATTTCGGGATAAGGTACAGTCTGAAAAGATCTTCAGTTCTTCAGCCATCTTACGAATCTGCAAACACCATGAAGGTTCTGGTATTCCTGTTTGGTCTCGTCTGCTTCTCCTTCGTCTCAAGCAACACGTCTTCTCAATTCTACTGCGGGAGGAGACTGGCTGATACTCTTGCTTATCTATGTCCTGAAGACTCTGTGGGCAAAAGATCTGGGATGGATACTGGAGACCTGGACTACTGGACATGGTCGTACCCGAGGATGGCTCTACAAGGCTCCAGGGGGAAGAGAGGAGTGGTGACCGAGTGCTGCGAAAAAGCCTGCTCTTTGAACGAACTGCTGTCCTACTGCTAGACGTATTGTAGCTGCCGTTATATTCTATTGTGATGCTGTAAATAAAGACTAATTTGTATTTATGACTGGCAATTTTATTGCATACCGATAGATAGGTAATTCATATAGGTATTTTCGTTCTAAACCATTGTTATAATAAGGCGCAAAAAGACATTTTGAATGTCGTAAATTAGACTTATAAGACTACGCAATACGCATCTAGGTTTACTTAAATGTATTTATTCTTGAATGTGCTAATCAGATAGAAGGGTTTAAAAGGCTACACGAGCTTCAGGATTTAAAGCATTTGAACTACCATTTCTAATTTAAATTCAGCCAGCGTTTGTCCCTAATCAGCTGCGCACATTATCACACTCGTCTCGTGTTAACGGCATCTTTTACTCTTTCCCAATACGCTGGAGATGTGTTTACTGTTTATAGCCCTCAATAACAGCTTTTGGTGTTACGACGCCTCATTATGACTGCTGTAGATATTACCTAATTGGGTGTATGATACTTGCTAACACAGCTTTTACGTGGCTTTTATGTAGGTGGAGTGGCTAAAATTGCTTCTTCACAGCACAGTTTTACATAATTGATCATTTTACAATTTTATCTTTAAAGTTAGGTACCTACCTACCTACTTATCAAATATAATAGCTGACACGGCGAACTTCGTACGGCTTATGTTCATCAGAAATAATGTAGGATTCAAATGGTGAAAGATTTTTTTAAATCGGTTCAGTAGTTTGAATTGCAAAATGTGTTGGTAAGCGCATAACGCAACAACGCCTGGACCAATTTCACCAATTCTTTTTTTATATGTTCGTTGAAGTCCAAGGATAGTTTTTACGGTGAAAACAATTCGAAACTTCGAAGTCGCGGGCGGCCGCTAGTATTAAATACAAACAATAAAATCTTCCTTCTTTATTGTAATACTCGTATCAGTGTAAGTAAAGGGCAATCGTGATTTCGCATCGACTATCGCCTTTTTAACATGAACTACAGATAAATAAATACAATGCGCAGTCGTTGTGATAATAAAATTTAAAAAGCCGATGGGCAGTGTCGTAATTTGTGTTTACGAGAGCCGTAAACATCCGTAAAGGGCCGTAAACACTCGGACACGCTTGTTAACTTGCCGTTAATTAATGGATATTAATGAAGGAGATAATAATATAAGAATCCTTAACGCGGGATTTTTCAATATAGTTTGCGTAAGTTTACGTTAGTGTCCAACGTTATAGCACTGTTAGTAGTATTAGGGTGGATTCGACCGAACAAGAGTAAATATTCTCAGAATAAATCGTCAGTTTTGACATATTTCCTATACTGAAACCGTCAATGTGCCAGTTATACCAGGAGTTATTCTCGGATAAAAGTTTGGTCGAATCGGGCATTAGCAGGCACTCATAAGTTGTGATGAGCTTTTATTACGATTTAGACTACGCTCAGAAGGATCCCGTAAAAACACACGAAAAGCTCTCCTTGTTCAAAAGCTTTGGTGGCCCGATGCGACGAATAGAACTCATGGGTTCGATGCTAGGTGGGACCAGTTAGATATGAGTACGGACGGATGAGTACGAGTAAAGACCGGGATTGTTGAAGTATTGGACATTCTCTGGTAGCCATACTAACCTTCTTATAAAGCCCTTCAAATACTAGAGAAACTACATTACATCTACTTTATTGGATATTTACTAAACGCAACCCACTTCTTTCTCGTAATTAAAGGTATAACGTGATAATAACTCGAAATATTTACGACAAGAAAACGCATTTTATAGTCGCGTTTATGACTTTAGTGATGGGCTACGAAATTGGAAATTTTGTCTACGCGGTTTGATGGGGGCTATAACTGGAGGGCAGCGCGTGTTGCACATTTATAATTGCTCTGTGGATTGGTAGCTGTAATTTTATGATTAGGTATACTAGATTTATATGCAGGTAATCTACGATAATGTGTTGCCAAATTAAACTGGTTAGGTTAATCGTAGAGTATGTAAGACCTGATATAGGTAGCAGATAGGCGCTGGATGCAGGCTGCTACCAACCGTGCAATGTGGAAGTCATTGGGGGAGGCCTATGTTCAGCAGTGGACGTCCTGTGACTGAAATGATGATGATGATGATGATGACGATGATGTAAGACCTAATAGTCATAGTAGAAAACTTATTTTTGTTGGATCTTGTGTTCGTAAAAGCATTAAGAGTGACCTTTGCTTAAGTAACAAACAAATATTCTTAGGCTGGGTTGCACCATCTTACTTTAACTATAACAAATGTCAAAAAACTATCGAACTCCATACGAAAAACACCGGTTATCTTTATAGTTACGGTTAAAGTTAGGTGGTGCAACTCGGCTTTAGAAATTCAGTCCCATTTTCCTAAAAAAATGAACAAAACCACGAAATATGTAACTTGTGTGTCCACAAAAAGGCTTGTATAGTCGTGTATAAGTGATTGTTGATGGCATCTGAATAGAGTCCAGAATTCAGTCGCTTACAGACGCTATCCACAAAGCGATTGGTGTCAGTCAGGACGTTGTATTGTCCGTGTATTTCGTTAAATGGATCAGATAACGTTGATTTATTTAGGGATAGTCCAATTAAGGAGTTAAAATGGACACAAAAAGTTCATTAATTATGATTTTTAGGCTTGGAATGGTCGTCTATAACACCTACGTGGTCCAGTATAGTTTAAGTGGTGTATTATTCTAGGCAGATCTTCTTTAAAAAACGTCAGTGATATGTTTTCTTTTGTTTATGAAATAGGTACCTATTAAGAATTCTCATGGACATAGTCTATGCTTTCGATGATAGTTTTATCGGTTGACTTTGGATTTAAATAAATTGATTGTGAGAATTTTATTCAGCAAAACTTAAATCATATCGTGATACTTACCTTAATAATGTTTGATATTATAATTTCCCGGCACCCACAATAAATTATCCGACGCTTAATTTCTGATTTGGGCACCGTTAGCACGATAGAAATGGAAACGGTAGTCCCGGATTACTCACCTAAAGTCTTTTTACATATTTGGCACACTGATGACGTTACTTGCATCGTGTTTGACAGACGGCGCACACGCATTTTTTTTAATATTTTTTTTATAATCTTTGTACCTCTGACGTTTGCTTATCAGAGCCTTTTGTATTATGTTTGGTTCATTTGTTTACTGTGTTGTTTAGGGTTTTAAAATAAGTTGTGTGAGTTGTTGCTTTTCTTATTTTTCTTTTTTATTTATGTTTTCTTTTGTAACGATTCTCCAGTTTGCTGTTAAAATTTTGACTTTATTTTCTTAATTGTGCTCCTTTATGGTAGCATATCTGCTACATTGTCTTTGAGACAGGCATGATAATATCAGCTTTAATCCTTTAGAATTATACATACGGCTTTTTTTTCTTATTTTTATTGGTTTTGTATTTTGTTTCTTTTTTTTACAGGTTTAGTATTTTTTTTTACTCTGTTTTCTTTTTATTTTCTGTGCTGTTAGTAACATTCTTATTAAACAAATATTTAGTTCTTTACTCTTTGACTCAATTAGTTTAATGAATTTGTCCGTAATCAGGTGTTGACATAAGTATCCAATATGGCCTACCATGCTGAAATAAGGCCTAGGCCTTATTGGATATTTCGCTCTTGTTGTCTTTAAAAATTTACAAATAATGCATCTATAGCCAGTAGTACAAATTAAGGTAATTATTAGCTAGTAAGAAATATTTAGAAACGATTACTAAGAAAAGCTTAATCTAAAACATCGTTATTTTACCGAAAATTTAAGATGAAATCGCCAGATTTTTATAAGAGAGCACGAAATCACCCACCACCTTGGAAGAACGCNATAAGACTTAAACAGATTTAATGACAGTCAATCCTTGTCATCTTTCTAAAAGATCATAGAAGTTACAATGAGATAAATAACAAACAGGCCTTGTATGTGCTTTGAAAAATCCATAATTAGCTTCAGGGCAGCGACATATTGCGACTTTTGCGCGAGTTTGGCAGCCTCGCGACTGCATCGCGATTGTATCGCTGTATTTAGTAATAAACGCGTGTGTGTAAAGGTACTCGTAGATATTTTGCGACTGCATCGAAGCTGCATCGCGACTGAATCGCTGCCAAAAAGTCGCAATGTAAAAGGACCCTAAAAGACTATCTGCCGCTACCTCTTCCCTCTGAACTCTACGCAGTTTCACAAGCCCCCGGCGCTTAACACCTCCGCCTCCGCTCAACACGCGATACTCACAGATGAACCGATAATTACGTCAAACGTTCGAAAGAATATGATTGACCGGCCTTTGCCGACGGGCGGGAGTGGGTTAAGAAAAGAAAGAATCACGCGCAGCGCTTTAGTGTTTAGGTTAAATTGTGATACTTTGTTTTGTTACTTTTCTGTTACTGGTAAGAACTTATGTCTATTTAATTATTATTTAGATGAAAATCGCGTGAATATGTTACCTACGAATGATAAGAAAATACAATGGCGAAAGAAAATTCGCCTATTTAATCAGCTGATCCCGCTTCAAACATTTCCTGCGGGATGAATTGACTAAATCACTAAATTAATAACTTTTTCTTCGGTATCGGTACTAGAAGTCAGACTGTTAGAAAAGATTGTAATTTTTGACTTTATTGCAACAAATGTTTTTCAATTCATCCCTTTCTACGTAATTATACACAGACATGAAGGTACTACGCGTATTTACGTATTGTTTAGTGGTCGTAAGTATGCAAAACGTACGTCAAAAACAATCAAAATATACAGGTATATTAAGCTGCGCAAACTTATGTCGCTGTTTTAGTATCATTTTGCAACATAATAATATTGTCACCCTTTACAACAACAATGTGTTTAGGAGCACTTAATCCAGTGTCTTCAGACTGGTCGGAGCCTCATTACAATAACCACCGAGGTGCGTCTTGATGAGGAAACGCGGCCGTAAAATGAGGAGGATCCTTTCAAAACATGTACAGTTGACCACGAGAAGTGACCAGATTTTTGTGTCGAATTTCAGTCTTCTAAGTTA